AACACATCCCGAAAGCGCATCACGATCATGGGTTTGGGGAAGCAGTAAGTGCATCAATCTGCCGATGTTTGCTTCTAGTGGGGTATCACTAACTTTGCGATTAGATCGATACGCGTCAATGGCGCCGACTGCGGTGTCGAAGCACTTGTGCTCGGAGTCGTAACATCCGTAGGCGGATTCCTCTTCGGCTACGACACTGGCCAGATCTCTGGCATGCTGCTCTTCACAGACTTCAGGAAACGATTCGCAACTGGCCCTGAAGATAACGGAATTCCAACATGGATTTCTATCACCCAGTCCCTCATGGTCTCACTTATGAGCATTGGCACACTGCTTGGTGCTCTGTCAGGAGCGTACACGGCCGATTGGTGGGGTCGACGACGAAGCCTTAGTTTCGGAGTCTGTGTATTCATCATCGGAAACATCATTCAAATCACCGCGATGAATAGCTGGGTTCACATGATGATGGGCAGGTTCGTCGCTGGTTTGGGCGTTGGTAACCTCTCTGTCGGCGTACCCATGTTCCAATCCGAGTGCTCGCCCAAGGAGATCCGAGGCGCCGTCGTCGCATCCTACCAGCTCATGATCACTTTCGGCATCCTGATTTCCAACTTGATCAACTTCGGTGTCCGAAACATTCAAGAGTCAGACGCTTCATGGCGCATCGTTATCGGTCTCGGCATCGCGTTCGCCTGCCCTCTGGGACTTGGCATTCTTGTGGTCCCTGAGTCTCCTCGTTGGCTCGCCGGCAGACACGATTGGGACGGCGCACGTTTAGCAATGGCGCGTCTGCGTGGAATGAAGAACGACCCCAACAATGAGCTCGTCGAGAACGATCTTCAGGAAATGTTCAAGGTCCTCGAAGAAGAGTCTAAGACCGGAACTGGAACGTGGGCCGAGTGCTTCACCGGGTCCTCCGGAATACCCAAGACCGTATACCGCACATTTTTAGGAATACTCATCCACTTCCTGCAACAATGGACTGGGGTAAACTACTTTGTGAGTATCTATATCTATATAATTGCGCTTAGCGTTGTATCTAATATGGTATTTAGTTCTACTATGGAGCCACGATTTTCGAATCTGCCGGTATCGAGGACCCAATCATGACACAGCTCATCCTCGGAGCTGTAAATGTGGCTCTCACCTTTTACGGCCTGTATGTTGTCGAAAAGTACGGAAGACGTTGGCCATTGTTCATCGGTGCCCTGTGGCAAGCTGCTTGGCTCGCGGTCTTCGCGTCTGTTGGCACAGCTGTGCCCCCGGACACAAGCCGCACCACTGGTATCGTTATGATTGTATCTGCGTGCATGTTCATTGCCTCTTTTGCAGGCGTAAGTGTTCCCTGCTCTGATGCTACCGACTTGCAAAGATCGTACTAACTCATCATAGACATGGGGACCTATGGCATGGTGCGTTATCGGAGAACTGTTCCCTCTTAGAACCAGAGCAAAGCAAGCATCGCTGGCAACGGCTGGCAACTGGTTTGGTAACTTCCTCATCTCATTCCTCACGCCTCTCGCGGATGACGGCATCTCGTATGCATATGGCTTTGTCTTCGCTGGTTGCAACCTCGCAGCCGCTCTGCTGGTTTGGTTCTTCCTGTACGAGTCAAAGGGTCTTTCTCTCGAGAACGTCGATCGTATGTACAGCGATCCGAATGTCAAGCCCTATTCTTCGAGCAAGTGGGTGCCTCCAGGTTACATTACCCGCAAGCAGAAGGACGAGTCTGCTTTCCACCGCGCTTCTACAACCACAGAAGCAACTGCTGTCGGAGACGGCCAGCACAAGGAGAAGTCGGGCGACGAGCGGCCTTACTCTGAGCATCATCACACGAAGACTGAGCCCACTTCGAACGCAGTCTAGCTTCGGGTACTATCAGAGCAGGAACTTCCGGCGATTTCAGGAATATCGACGGCATGCTCCCAACAGTTGTACTACTAGTTCTTCATAATGATATCACGACCTTCTAATATGCTCCTTATTTGGTGTTTGTGGCATAGCTCTGTGGATGTTTATGGTAAACCCTATGAGACCGAAAGTTTTCCTGTCATAACTCCGCCCCGTTCACCGGCGATATCAAGCTGCTTCTACATCGCCAGTTCGCATGAAGATGTTTGAAGGTCTGCTGCGCTCGGGAAAATCATCAACATGGTACTCAATCTCCGGTCCCTCCTGTTTGAAACCCAGCTTCGAGTAGACATGTCTCCCCATGCTGGAACCCTCGAGAATGGCCTCAAGTCCGCCCCGTCGCTTGGCCTCGTCCAGACCCCACAGCACCAATTTCTTGGCAGCGCCCCTTCCTTGGAATTTCGGGTCCACGGCGCACAAATCCAGCGCAAAAACGGCCGGAGGGTTCGCCGTCGCTTTCTGCTTGATGACCTCGGTGCGGCGCCGATGAAGGGAACCGATGCACTGAGCCAAGTATCGCTGCTCAGTCTCGTTGTCGGGGTAGAGCGCGTCGACTCCGAGGCTCTTCTTTAAGTCCGCCGGGCTCGGCTCGCCGTAGCCCTCGACAGCCGAAGCCTGCAGCCAAATGGCCATACCAGCGATCCTGCGTTGTCCGGGTCTCTCGGGGTCCGGGACCGTAGCCTTGAGGAAGACGGTGTTCGGCTGACCCTGCTTGTTGGCCGTGACTGAACGCCAGCGGGCAGCCATGCGCTCGGCGCTGGCGGCGACACCTTCGGGCGTGTCCCAGCCTGGGTTCATGCCCATGTAGACACCATCGCGCGCTTGGTGGCAGAAGGCGTTGATGGCTGCGTCAGCGGCCTGGTGGAAGTCTTCGGCTTGTGTGATGACTTCGATGAGGGGTTCCTGCGGCCCCGCGCTGTCACCAGCCATTGTGTCTTGTTGATGCGGGGTGCGGGGTTCAAACACGAGGGGCTTGGTAGCTGGTCTGCAAAGGTGTTACACGAAATGCAATGCAACAACTCGTCAAGGGGCAGGAATTTCGTTGTGTGTGGAGGAGTAAAGCTGAAGAGACATTCAGGAACAGGTGAGCGTTTTCCCTCCAGGCCGTCAAGGTTGGCTACATAATGCCAAGCCCCGAAAGGTCCAAGCCGTAATGATCCCTCGATTTCCCCGCGCTGTGACCCACTGAACTCCGCATCTTGGGGTCATGCGCGGGATGTTTTGTCACCAAGATCATTGCGATTGCGGCCTTGGAAAGGACGTTTGATGTCCTCCTTTCGCAGCAGATGAATGCCTCCGGTCGTGATCAGGCATTGCTGTAGAGCAGAAGGAAGATGCTCGCAGCTGTTGATGTGGCAGTCTTTGGCAACAAAACAGCTCTCGTCTCCAGTGGAAACTGCAGTCAGTGTGTGAGTTACAGGCACAACTCCCTTTGCGGCTACCATATCCAATTGAGACCTAGTTCGTAGATTGGTGTTATTTGAGTGGTTGTCCAAGTTGTGGATTAGAATTGAAGTTCTATTGAGCCCAGTCATGCATCCATGCATGTGTTCACAGAATCCAGCCCAACGGCATATGTAGATAGGGAGAAGCTAGCCTATCTTCGACCAGTTGGAAAGTCAGAAAGCCTGGCACTAAGTTATACAGTAAAGTGTGCACCTTGGATCGAAATGGTGCTGTGTTTGTTCTCCCTAATCTCAACTTCATCGGCCTCGTTCCGGTTGACTCGGACCCCCTCCGGAGGCTGGTTTTGGAAGCGGAACTTGTCCGAGCAAGGGGCTGCTAGTACACGCAGCAAGCCCCCTACATAGAACACACGGGGAAGTCCTCGGAAATGAAACACCGAGAGAAATATCATCTGGAACATTGTGAGCTTTCTGTTTACACCGTTATCGAAAACTTCAAGCGAGAGCTAGCGGAGACGAACTCTGTCATGACACCGACCTATCTTCCTCCGTTGGCATGGAACTGTCACACGCACTGCTTCAACACAGAAAAGTACCCTTTCAAAGCAACTCGCGCTTACACCCCCGAACCTGCTAGGGTTGATGCACTCATCAAAAACTCTTTCACGGATCAGCTCATGTTGGTCCAAGCGACCATAGAAGATGGGTACCGTGGTTTGATCGGAAATCTAAATGAGTGTCGTGACTCTGATCCCAGCAAACGGGTGTTGGGCACTATCTTCTGGGACTCAGAATCAGTACAGGAGCTTCGGGGCTTAACGGCAGCTGACTTTGATGAACTCCACGACGCTGGTGTAAGGTCTGTTCGTATTCATGGTTCATACGGGGGCTCGGGTGGCGATCTGGACTGGGTTAAGAAGCAGTTCCTGGACGTTGCCAGACACTGTCCTGTTCACCGACACAACTGGAGCATCTCGGCTCAGCTTCCACTTTCGACATGGTCATCATTGGAAGCTACCTTGCTACAAGAACCACTCCTTGAGGGCGTCTATATCATTGCCGATCATAATGGCTGTGCCAACCCCTCCGACATAGGTAGCGCGGAGTTACACAGCTTCATGCGTCTTCTAGAGTCTGGGAGGTTCTTTGTCAAGGTAGGAGCCTTGCATAGACGGTCACCAACGAACATCAACTCAATGCGCCCACTGATCGAGATCTTTGCCAAACGTGCGGCAGATAGCATCCTGTGGGGAAGCGATTGGCCTCATATTGACGGAAGTGTTCGCGGTCTTGATCCCACGCCTTCTCTGCCGGTTGATACACAATTAGAGCTAGCAGCCTTGAAGGAGTGGCTTACGACAGAGCAATGGATGAAAATGCTTGTTCACAATCCAATGCGGGTGTTCGGCACCGTCGAGAACTAGACATGGGGAAAACCTGGGGTGAGAATGGGGAATGAGGGGATTTCGGATCGGCTCCGGACCGGAGGCCATTTTTGGTCTGGGGTATGGGGAACGTGATGTGGGATTGAAGACGAAGCGCGAGGGACTCCATAGCATTTGCCAAGTCAAAAGACCCTCTTCGTTCCTATCTCCCATATTTCTAAATGTATCTTTAGAGCTTTGTTTCCATTGCTTGTAGCTTGGCTCGGCAATCGACACAATTCAGACGACAACCAACACAATGGCGATGAACAGTGTTCCAAAACCTGCTCTGAACGAGGTTTCTAAGCAAGGAAGCGAAGAAATTGAGAATGTTCCAACAAAGAACCTGACGTTGATGGACACATACCGGTCCTACTCGCCCGAATTCTCAAAGAAAACCGAGCGACAACTTGTTCGGAAAATCGACGCCCATCTCTTGCCTCTCATTGTTACAATTTATCTGTTCAACTACCTTGATCGAAATTCGATTACCCAAGCGCGCCTCTACGGCCTCCAAGAAGACACCCATGTCAAAGGGGCAACGTATCAAACCGCCATTTCGATCTTTTCTGCAGGCTATATCGCGATGCAACTGCCGTCAACGATGCTCATGACCAAGATGCAGCCGCATATCTTTCTGGTTAGACCTCCACGATGGAAACACTTGTGTAACAGAGACTAACTTACGATAGCCTGGATGCATTATCATCTGGGCCATAGTGAGCGGCTGCACAAGTGCCACGTCTTCTCCAGCCGGCCTGCTCGTCGTTAGGTTCTTTTTGGGGATCGTCGAAGCTCCCTTCTTCCCGGGAGCCATATACTACTTGAGTTGCTGGTACACGAAAAAAGAGCTCGGATTGCGCATGGCCCTACTTGTGTGTGGATTGCTCTTGTCGAACTGCTTTGCCGGTCTCATATCAGCTGGCATTCTTTCAGGAATGGCTGGCGTGGGACACCTCGCAGCGTGGAGATGGCTCTTCATACTCGAAGGTCTTGCTACAGCTTGCGTCGGAGTAACTGCTTTCTTCCTTCTTCCCGACTACCCGGGAACCACGAAATGGTTGTCGGAAGAGGAGAAGGTCATTGCGCAGGGCCGTTTGGCAGCAGACGCCGGCAGTGAAGAAGTTTTGGGCGAGGACGAGATTTCGATGAAGCAGGCTATCTTGGCTGCATTGGCGGACTACCGAGTTTGGTTGTTTGCCCTACTTCAAATGTCGACAACTGCTTCTATCTCATTCTCACACTTCTTCCCAACCTTGATTCAACAGCTTGGTTTCAAGAACAATACTATCGTTCTTCTACTTACAGCGCCTCCCTACTTCTTCTCTTTCATCTGGGCCTTGACACTAGCTTGGGACGCCGACCGATGGCAGAAAAGATCACCTCACGCGAGCATCTCCGCAATTACTGCCATTGCTGGAACTGTCACTTTGGTCGCCATGGGTGATCAACGTTGGGCTCGCTACGCCATGACCTTCCTCGTCAGCGCCGGAACGTTTGGCATCTACTCAACGACTTACCCTTGGTTGTCCTCGACCATCGTCCAACCAGCAATGAAACGAGCTGCTGCTATCGGTATTGCAAATACCCTGGCTAATAGTGCTTCGTTATTCGCCAACTACTTTTGGCTAGATGAATACGGCCCGAGTTTTCGTGTGTCATGGGCTTGTATCTTGGCCTTCCAGGTGCTTGGATTGAGCTGCATCTTTGGCCTTCGCATTTGCCTCAAGAAGGCAAACCAAATATTTGAAAACCTACGGGGTGAAGTAGATCAACAAAATGAGGAGGCGATGAACAGGCTAGACAAAGATTCTCAGAGAGCAGTTTTGAACGGATTCAAGTACATCACGTAGACAATATCATGTCTTTGATTTCGTTGGCATCGACGGAGGTTAGACCCACTTTGACTTCTAAACTTCTTCAATTATGCTCCGAAAACGCAGCTTGCACAAGCTCAAGACGAGAACCTGTGCCATTGTCGCAACCTGTGAATCTGAAAGTCCGACGTCCACTGGGGCCTAGATACCAGTTCTTGATTGGTTTCCAGCTCACTGACAACGATACTCAATGTCCACTCAGCCAGTCTGTTATCCAAAAGTTGCGATGGATGTAGTGACACACTTAGCAGTATCTCCCCTGCCGCAGAAAAGCAACCACCGAGATCCCAATAGCCTCTCCCAGGTCCAAAATCTTTTTGATCATAAAGCAAGACACTATCTTGTTCATGTTGCCAGCAAGAAACCCCCGAAAAAATATCATACTTCTCAGTTTCATTGCTCGGAACTGCTCCGGTCGTTGTTTTAGTTTGGTCATGCAAGGAAACATGTGCCCAGGTCTTTCCCTCGTGAAGGCCGAAGGCAATAGACGCAACGAACTCTTGCAGTGCAGACAGACCCTGCCTTTGATCCCCGTAATTCAGTTTCTTTTCCGGAGACAACACATCCGCGATGCTTACTTGAGCGAAGACAGTCTGGCCTCTTGTCAGAACAGTGGACAACGGTACCTTTGACATGATATGATGGTGCTTGAATGGCGGACTGGAGCCGTGGAAGAATTCCTTCGCAACACAGGTGGATACCTGGAAGGCAAGTCCACGTTGACTTCTAACGACCACTGTGAGCTTCGCAAGCTTGGTAACAATATTTTCATTGCGCGATTTGGCCCAATCGGATATTGCCTTATCATATTCCCGTTCAAACGTCGAGCTAGCAATGGTGGATCTCCTCGGATTATTTCCCGAAATATAGCTCAATAAGGCTGGCATACGAAATTTGTAACCACCGTCAGGCATACGACGATGTATCAACGTGCGGCCGTTGAAGTGCGTGCGGACAAAATGGCGTGCAGGGCGGTCATCGCGTTGCCGTAGGAATATGATGACAGAGCCCTTTTCCGCACGAGGATACCAAGAAGTCTGTATATGAAACGCAGCTAGGAAGGAGAAATAGTATCCCTCAAAATAGGGAGACATTGATATTACTGGGAGTTGAATTTGAAGGCCAAAGTTGGTCATCGTATAGTATGGCTGTACTTCGGCTTCGTCCAAATGGTATCGGTTGATAAATTCGTTGTAGCTCATTGAAGTGAAGTTTCCAGACCGCCAGAACAATCGCGGAGAATTCGCCAACATGCCTTGGTATTCGTGGTCTTTGTGATCCTCATGGTCTTCGTCAGAATCCCAGGCAAAAATGGTGTGATCAGCCGAGCCTTTCATGATTTCCTCTTGAAGCCGAAAGAATGCTTTCCGCCCCTCGCCGTAGACTGTTGGCATACTGACCCCAAATATTCCCATCAAAGAATAGGCCTCATCTTCTACACGTGTGGTTCTTCTTCGAGATGCCCAGCACATTTTCTGTGCTACGCTTGCGATCTGTAGCTTATCCTTGTGGCTTGCGGTATGCGGCTTTTCTCTGTGGGAAAGAATCTCTTCCTGGATTCCCGTGATGCTCGAAAGAAGTTTGTGCAAGGTGGATTTGCTACCAAGAGTTCTTGATCCCCAATGAGAGTCGAAAAAGATGACCTCATTAGGTGCAATGAGTTCTTGCAAGGTCCACCCTCTGGTAAACCAAACACTCTTTCTGAATGCAGACCCCACATCCATAATATCGTCTCCTGGCGGCACATCTTCCATGTAGGCGAAACAGACGTGTGAGTCCTGATACCAAGAGTACATGGAGTTGATCGCTTCTGACAACTCAGCACTGCTAGACTTGTCGATGCAGCATGTGTCGATCCACACATAGCTGAGGCCGTACTCTAGAGCTAGTGAACAACACGAAAGCAGCTTCTGATAGCCCTTTTTCTGCTTGACAGACGCAGTTTGAACCATGAGCTCTTGGAGAGTGGGTTCATCGGCCGGCGATCCCCATCTATGGGACAGAATGGCATACGGCGGAACATTGTCGACGTGGAGCTCAAGTTTGACATCAAGACTCCCTGGAGTGTCCGTTTCCTGCGCGCGAAGGAGGTACATTGTAATTTCGTGGTGACGTTGCGCGTAGATTGACGATGCGATGAACAAAGTCGGAGGAGAATACTGGAAGATGTTGTCCAGCCTGATCGAGCCTGATGTTAAATCAGCTGACGCAATGCAACACTGCTCGGCACATTGCAGAATGCTCCGATAACAAAATACAGCAGGCCGCATGAAATTTCAGTCCACCAATCACTTCATTCATTCTTCTCCTTGTTTGTCAGCACACTAATTAGGTTGGTTAGTAGCCGCACTTGTGGGATAGCCTGCCTAATGAGCCATTGAGATGAAGGGTTTCGTTATCAACAGCCAGCTAAAAGCATCAATCAGTATCGAGAATGCATAGTTCGAGCCGATTTGAGGAGCCATTTCAACGTTTAGAAACAGAAAGATTCTCCGCAGCATACTGGCAAGATTCTTGCTTGCAAGCTTAGGCAAGACCTCACTCCTCGGCGGAGTCGAAGCCTTCGATAGGTCAGTGGAAAACCTAGAACACTCTGCTAGTAGTCTTAGGAGTGGTGTTCATGAAGACATCGTTGGCATAATCCTAAAGCAAGTTGTCGAAATGATAGAACGAACGATGAGAAACCTGGATGGAGCACCAGCTTTCCCTAGGGAAAAGCCGGCAGCCCTCCCTCAAGGTAAGGTAGGGAATGGCCTTATTCTTGCAGGCGGAAAATCAAAATCGAAAGCCCACTTGATAGATGGTAACGGCGATCAGCCTACGATATCGAGGCGCAGCTTTCCAAAATGAGTTTCTTAGAAAAGGTGGCAGCTATGAAGACTCGTGAGCGCAGGCTCATCGATGTAAAACGATCCATGCATTGAATCCTAGTACTTAGTAATAGGAAACGACAGCGCGGTCATTGTGTCCGCCAACTGTGCTGACATGTCAGAAGTGTTCGCTTTTGCAAACTAGATCGGGGACGTTAGAAATAGATCCGCCTGTGTGACATGTTACTTTCTGGGAAATAATACGGCTCATCTACGCTAGGGGATGATGCGTTCCCCTGTCCACCCCGCAATCCCATATTGCTTACAGCAGGCGGATCACATCAGAGGCCGAAGTTAAAGCCAATCAACTCCCCGTAACTTGACACGATTTTCACCGACATACCTTAGGTATCGTGTGGTATATTGAAATGTCTGGTGTCTCTCCTCCGAGAATTGTCTTTTCGTTTTCGCCTTTTTTCTTCATAGCACAGTCCAGTCCAAGAAAAACCAGTCATCGTCCTCACCTGAGAGTTCGGAGACGTCGGGTGGCTGTGGAATGGCGATACAGGGGCCACAGAACAACACGCGGTTTTACTAGGCGCGAGTTTTAGGGCGTAGGACCAATACTCCGCGACCAAAAGGGGCGCCAACAGCAGGCCGCACCTAACGCGTAATACCAACCACAAGCCTGCTGGTCCTCTGCTTTACAGTATTATCTTTCTTCCCTTCTAAGTTTTCTTCTTCGCAGTTTGCCGCCTAGAGATGCACTTTATTAACTACTATATAACTTTAATAGGGAAATATATAGAGGGTTATAGTATAACCTCTATAGCTAACTTATAAGGTATATAAAAGGGATTTTTAAGCTACTTAGCTAAGTTAATAAAAGTAGTCCCTTATTATACTATAGCTTATATTTAAAACTCTCTAAAATAAATCTTATATATACTTCTTATTTAATTAATATAGCTTTTACTACTAGTAATATTAAATATCTAAAAAAGACTAATTTACTATATATTTAATAATAGTTTAGTTATATTTTTATAGCTAAAAATAATAATATAATATCTTTATACTTCTTTATAATATATATTAAGTTTTTAGAAAACTTTTAGAACTAAGCTCTCTATTAAATTAAGTAGAGGTTTAAAAAGATCGCTAAAAACTTAAAAAATAAGAATAATATAAGGGAGATTAATAAGATATTTAATAAAAAGTATAGTAAATAGTTCTAAGAACTAATCGCTATTATTACTTTTATTTAAATTATAATATAGTAGTTAAGAAGATTAGCTTAGGTTAAGGTAGAGGAAAAAAGGGTCCTTATATTCCCTATAGTTATATAAAAATTCACAAAAGAATTCTTCACAAAATAGCTTTATAGTATTAATTTAACCTTATAAGTATGCTTAATCCCCCTTTTATGGCTAGTAGACGCTGTTAGCCACAGGCTGTTAATTAAGTCTAAGAGCATCAGCAACATCATGCCGTTTCAAGTCAAGAATTGAGAGGTTGGATGCTCTGATCACTAATAGGTTGGCGACTCCTCCTAATTGCGGCTGCATGTGAACTTAAATAGGAAGGCTAACCGCCATAGCGAAGAGTTTTCCAGAGTGGGCAGCAGCACACCACTTACCCCTAAGCAGAAAAGGACCCCAATGCGCTCCCACTTCAGTTACTGTTAAATTAACAGGGTCATTTTGTTAATTTGCTCACGCTAGCCTAATTTAGCTGCTACACCACTGCTGCTATAATTAATTCACCCCTCTAAGTACTACCCTCTTATAATATAACTTACTAATATTAATACTACTAACTTAGCTAAAAAGCTACCCCTACTTATATATATAGCTAAGATTACTACTTTAAAACTTCTATTATACTACCTATTTTCTAAATATATTAAATTATTAATTTTCTTATATATCTTATATTTTTTTAAAACTAAAAGTATATCTAATATTTAGATCTAAACCCCTATTTTTAAAGAGTACTAACTATATGTTTATATTACTCTCTATACTAAAAGTTTTACTATATATAAAAAGAGAACTTCTAATAATAATAACTAATATAATATTATATATAATTAAGAAGATAAATATATTTTAACTATATTAAAATAAAAAAGCTATACTAAGTAATATAACTATTAGTTTAAAAGTAAAATTTAATATATTATTATTATAAAGATCTAAGTATAAGAAATCTTTAATAGTTTTAAGTATTATAACTACTTTACTACTTCTTAAGTTTAATTTAATATAATCTTAACTTTCTAAAAACTTACTATTAATAAAGTTAAGTAAGCTATAAAAACCTCTAGTAACCTCCTAAAAAAAAGCTTTTTTAAATATATTAAGAAGCTCTTTATAGTAAATAACTTAATATTATATATAATTATAAACCTTTTTAAATAAGAGAGCTATAAGGTTAGCCTATAAGATATATATAACTAATAATACTACTTCTAATAGGAAAAATATAGTTTATTATTATTAACTTAGCTCTTCTTTAATAAACTTACTAAGAAGTATAATATATTTTACTATATAGTTTAATATAGTAATAATAATAAGATTAATAGTATTTTTTAAATATATTAGCCTTATTTAGAGATACTAAAGAAAAACCTAAAACTATTAATAATAGATAATATATATAAAGTAAATAATATATACCTTTATTATCCCCCTATTTATTATTATTTTAATTTTTTACTAATAGAAATATAAAATAAATAAATTAATTTTAAATACCCCTCTTCTAAGTTATTAATCTCTCTACTATTAATACTATATTTAATACTAACTTTTACTTTATTTCTACTAAAACTACTAAATTTTTCTAATAGATACTACTTTAACTATATAAGTTTCTCTTTAAGAACTTTATACTTAACTTAAGTATTATTATTACTAACTTTAATACTAACTTAAAGTATATTACTAAAGATATATTTCCTCTTTTAAAGTAATAGTTTTATATATAGTATATATTTAAAAATATCACTTTAAATACTAAGAAAAAATAAGTAAACTTATAAGCCCTTAAGAGTAATAAAGTAGCTACTACTACCCTTAATATTAGTAATAATACTATTAAGCTTTAATTTTACGCTTAAAGTTATAAGATTACTACTTAACTTATAATAGAAGTAGCTATATGCTTAAAAGGTATTAAAGCTCTTATTAAGAAGAATTATAACTATAACGCTAATAGCTTTATTAAGGTATAGAATACCTATATTTACTTATTAATATATAAGGTATATAAAAAAGTATAGTAATATATTAAGTAGTAGTTTTATAACTAGCTAGGTATATATAGTTTTATAGTATTTAGATTAATATTAACTTCTTAAATATTCTTAAGTACTTCTAAATAATATATATCTTATACTATAAAAAGTTTATTAACTACTCTATATATTAATTTTAAAACTATAGCTATAAAATAATATTACTTATTAAAAGTAGCTACTATAAGTTAAAATCTTACCTTACTTACTACCTCTCTAATTTATATATTTTATATACTAAAATATTAAGATAGTTATTAAGAAATAAAAGTAATACTAAGTAAAGTTTAGTAATAAAATTTATAAATAATATATTACTTAAAAGAAGTATAAACTTATTAATAGCTTTATCTATAATATTTCTTTTTAAGCTTTTAAACTTCTTTATAATTAATATAATACTACTAAAAATATATTTAAATAGTAGAGAAGCTTACTTACTACCTATACTAATATATTTTAAAAGTAGTAAAGTTTACTTTACTACTATAACCTATTAAATTAATTATATAATAATAATAATAAGGTTCTCTATATTAAAAATATTAATAATTACTAATACTTTAATTAGAGTAATATAAATATTTTAGTTTATTAGCTATTAACTTTTTATTAACCTCTCTAGCTTAAATTAATTAAGATTAAATAGTTTACTTTTAAGCTTAATCTAAATATTATTTTAAGAAATACTTAGTACTAATATTATAATCCTAACTCCTTTAATAATAAAGCTCCCCCTATAGTTAACTTAAGTAATACTTAATATATACTTTCTATATAAAAAGCTTATAAAGCTTCTTAGAGATTTATATTTATATTATAAGTTTTAGTAATATTAATACTAACTATAAGTTAAATAAGTAGAAGTAGTAATAGAAGTATATATTAGAAATTAAAATAAATAGTAAATAAAATTACTAAGTTTTATAATATAATAGCTACTCTTACTACTTCTATTAAAGCTCTTACTAGCTATTAAACTCTCTATTAATAATAATAGATTAATATTAAGAGATTATATTAATAATAAAGAGATATATTACTAACTTAATAAAAAAAAGATTTTTAGTATTAATAAATATTCACTATATTATAATAATAAAATTAGCTCCTTTAGCTAAAATTACTACTACTACTATAATAATATATCTTTTTAATACTATTAATATAATTATTATTATTAGTATAACTACTAAAGTAGATTTAGCTACTACTAAGATTATAAATTTAGAAATAGCTATAAGTAGTTATTAATATACTCTTTTATACTTACTAGAAGTTATATAATATAATAGCTTTTTAATTAAAATTAATAAAACTAACTACTAAGCTTTAAATTATTTAAATCTAAGGAGTTTTTAAACTATTTAATAATTTAGTAAAACTCTAACTAATTTAGACTAATTAGAAAACTAGGATTTAACTAGATAGAGTTCTCTAGGTTTAAGTGTTTAGCTAAAGGTATTTATACTTAAAAACTTAGGTATATTAGACTTTAGTAGGATTACTATAGCGTAGCTATACTAACCTATTTAAGTGCCTAATTCAGTTAGATTAGGCAAAATAACAAAATAACCCCATTAATTTAACAGCTACCCCCACTTCAGATTCGCCTGTTTTTCGGACTCAAATACGGTAGCTCTCGCCAGGATCTGAAGGATACTTTTGCTCTTTCAGGCCAGGCGTGCGGCTTGCGCAGGGGATCGATGGGCGCACGCTCCACTGTTTGCTGGGGCAGAACCCAATTATGAGCCCTGTAATTGTCGTATGGTTCCCAATTGAGGACGGGATTTAATTAAGTGACAGCTGTAGTCTGTTCCAGATAAAACATCGTTCCCGCGGCGGCTACTGTATCCGCGGGCGTAGATCGAGGCGCGAGCACGGGGGATTTATCAAGAGGCTTCGGCTCCCACATGGCAACTGCTCTTCGCAACTCTGTTCCTACCAAACTTCTATCTCTTTTGGTTGTCACCTCTCATACCGTCTCTCGTTCCTTTGGCTTGCCACTCTAACCTCTCATTCATTCATTGGGTTCCGGAACTCAACCACGATATTTCCAATTCTTTTCCTACGAACCAACATCAGCCTTTTACCCAGCTTTTTTAATCTTGGTTCGATCACGACAACTCCACAATGAAGTCGGCTCCCACTCTCTTGGCAGTCTTGGCAGGACTTGCCAACCTTGTTGCGGCTCAGACTGTCTCTGGCAAGCCTGAAGGCTTTGCTACTGGTGTTACTGGTGGTGGCAGCGCAACTGCCGTCACCCCTGCGGATATCACCGAGCTCAAGGAGTACCTCACTGACGACGAGCCTCGCGTCATCCTCCTCTCCAAGGAGTACGACTTCACCGAGTCTGAGGGCACCGAGTCCGGCAACGTTTGCGCCAGCTGGGGCACCGGCGCTGCTTGCCAGAAGATCATCCAGGACGACTGCGGCAGCAACCCTGCTTCGACCGAGACTTGGTACAAGGCCCCGACCCAGCCTATTGACGTCGGCAACAACAAGACGATCCTCGGTGTTGGCAGCAAGGGCGCTATCAAGGGTAAGGGCCTGCGCATGAGAGGCAGCAACGTCATGTAAGTGCCAACCTAGTTCGTGAATCTTTTCGTGCACTAACAGCCAAAAGCATCCAAAACATTCAGGTCTCCGACTTGAACCCCAAGTACGTTTGGGGTGGTGATGCTATCGGCTTCGATGGCGCTGACCTTGTCTGGGTTGACCACGTCACGGTAAGTCACTTGGTCGTAAATAACATGGTGATGATGCTGACCCTTGAGACAGACCGCCCGTCCTGGCCGCCAGCACTACGTCTTCGGCTTCAACCCCAGCAAGCGCATCACTCTCTCCAACAACTTCATCAACGGCGAGTCCGACTACTCTACCGGCTGCAACGGATACCACTACTGGACCTTCGAGATGGTCGGCACCGACGACCAGATCACCATGAAGAACAACTACATCTACAAGACCTCCGGCCGCAGCCCTGCCCTCAGCGGTGGCACTCTCCTCCACGCCGTCAACAACGTGTGGGACGACAACGACGGCCACGCTCTCGAGGGTGGCGACACCAAGGCCCGCGGTATCTTCGAGGGCAACGCCTTCATCAACGTCAAGGCTCTCGTCTCCGACTACCAGGGCAAGCTGTTCTCTTCCCCCGACGCCACCACCAACGCTGAGTGCAAGACCGCTCTCGGCCGCGCCTGCGAGGTTAACGTCTTCGACACCACCACCTCCACCGACTTCACCAAGCTCAAGGACACCTCCTTCTTCAGCGAGTTCTCTGGCTTCTCCATCGCCTCCGCCGAGTCCGCCAGCTCCATCAAGACCAGCGTCCCCAACAACGCCGGTGCCGGCAAGCTTAGCTCTTCCAGCAGCTCTTCTGGCTCCACCAAGTCTGCTGACGCCGTTGCCGAGGCCGCTGCCACTACCCCTGCCGCCACCTCTGCTGCTGCTCCCGCCGCCGCTGCCACCAGCGCTGCTGCCAGCTCCGGCTCCGGCTCCGGCTCTGTTGCTCTCTACGGCCAGTGCGGTGGCCAGGGATACTCTGGCGCTACTTCTTGCGCCTCTGGCAAGTGCGAGGTCGTCAACGACTGGTACTCCCAGTGCGTCTAAGCAACTTCGATGCCATGATCCGGGTTCTGTCGAGGCCGATGGACCGTTCTGTGATACCCATCTGTCAGTCTTGAGAGGCACATGCATTCTTGTAACATTGCCATCGCACATATATTCCTTGTAAATATCTTTGAGGCCAGGGGCCAAGTAAAATAAAACCAACCAGAGTCTTGCACTACTTCTATATAGCTCCAGACGAGCAGTGATCCAGCATGTGAATTGCAAGGCTACGTTTGTCTCAGGCAAATGGTCCATTTAGCCCTTTTCACGAGGCAAAGCGTTTGCTAATGTACCCATTGGGGTCACCCTAGGCAACTGAGACCAAGGCAGCTAGGCAGGCAGCAGAAGTGTATTGCGATGGGAAGTGGCTTTTGTTTCCCTCGAATTCCATCAGGTGTCACTTCAGCACTTCTACCTACCATGGGCATAGTTATTAAAGTGGCAGCAAGTATGTACAAGTGTTCGGTTCAGAGTTCGATCGCGTCTAGGACGCCGGGTTTAAACTTCATGTGCCTTTGGCATCGGAGAGTTGATTGCGGCTGAAGACGCTAAGGCGATGCGTCGATGGCGGGCTCTCTCTACTAGTCTCATGGATTACAGGGATCTCTCCACAGCTGCATCTTGGCACTTCGTGCTCTCATTGTGTTGGAAACGCAGACTTCATATCCCATGTTTGAGACTTCCACAGCCTGGTCCCAGGAAGCAGGGCACATTCGGAACAGTCTTGTGGTCTGCGAGGTAGTGACATGGTCTGCCAATGTCCTGAGATCCTGCAAGTCTTCGTAAAAGAGGCTGGTTATTGCGCGTAGACATTGACAATCTTGATCACGGCCAAAAGATAATGATGAGCCTCGAGCTACCTTACCTTTTCAGTATCTTAGAGTCAACTTTAAATCTTGCCGGGGAGCGTCAGGTGCAAGCCTTCTAGATCAGCTGCGATGGCTTTTCCATTTCAGCTGTAGTGAGTCAGATTGTCTCTTGCTTGGCTTAAGCTAAGCTCAGCTCCCATCCCAGACATCGCGCGGCATGCGAATTCGCAATCATCAGTGTGATAGGAGCATTTGGCATACGTATATGGAAGTCCTCTCGTAAAATCTTCCGTCCACCAATCTTTGCCATCTCATCCACATCAACAAGCGCGGTGACCAACACATCATCACCACTTTTCTGATCTATCGTCTAGTGCCTTCAAAACTGCTCCTGATGAGGTCTCAGCTCTACACTATCAGCATAGTATGCTTCTGGATTCTAGACCATGTAGAAGCTGTCTACTATCTTGACCAGGCGGCCGGCTACAGCGCACTGCCATCATGCGCCGAAGTTCCCATCAGCTCCATCGTGAGAGACATGGTCTCGGGATGCGGTGACGGAGGCAGGACGACATCCTATAGCTGCTTCTGCACCGCAAGCTCGGATAGATTCAGCAACCTCATTGCCACTGCTGTTGCCAAGAACTGCGGCCAGTCGAGCTCGGAGGTCGCGAGCGCAACGCAGGTGTTTGATGCATATTGCCAACTTGGCAAAGCTGATGCAGCAACAGGTTGTTGACTAAAAACAGATCCTCTCCTTTGTCTGTATGTTGCTAACATCACCGGTGGAAAGATGTTAGTGGGCCAACTTCGACGACAGGCGGCAGCATTTCGACCTCCTCGCCAGCCTCTTCTACCGTTGAACCATCATCTGGTCTTTCTACTGGAGCTGTCATCGCTGTCAGCACCTGTGTATCTCTCGTCACTATTGCGATATTCATCACTGCCTATTTCCTATGGCGTCGACGCCGTGCCAACAGGAAAACCCCAAGCGTCGAAGCACATACCGAAGTGTTTGTGGAGAACGGAGAAGGTACAGGGGCTCAAAAACATGATTGCACGGTAGAAAGTTTCAAGGCAGAGCTGGATGCGAGGAATGAGATAAATGAGTTGCCAACTCCGCCGCCGCCGAGGACCATGCACGAGCTCCAATGAGGGCAGTAATCGTAGTTATCGAGGACAGCTAAATGCTCCTCATCAAATATTTTGACTTTTCGCTCTTGATATTTTTTAAACCTCGGAGTTGAAAAAGTCCACAGGAGACGTCAGCACTGAGGTTCGGCGGAAGCCCGACTGCAACGCTCACGCAATGACGCGAGAAATTGCACCATCGTCGGGGTCCCTGTTGACACACCAAACTGACAGCCTGACAAGTTTAGATGAACCAACCACGAATCTCGGAATCCGATGAAAGATAAGACGTCGGCAATAATGCCACGCGGTCGCTAATACCGGCGCGCTGGTCGGGGCCTGGGCCGGTGCTTGGTGCGTTCGCAGGGACTCTGGCCCCTGTTTGCCGGTGATGTGCTCCGGTATTGTGGTGACGACTTCGGGGATTTCTTAGTTGAGATGGAGAATGGAGAATGATTGTATTTATTAAGGTCAAAGTGAATGCAAACGTCTGACATGCTAATTAATGATAACGTCCTGTTCGTCGCGAGTCTGAAGCATCGTGCCCATCATGACCGAGCCTGCACGCCGGTGGTATCACTGGTTCTCGCCCAGCGATAGTCCTGAGGAACGCAAGCTGATCCTCAAGCTGGATCTACTCATCGTTCCCTATGCTTTCATCCTCTATTGGGTCAAGTATATGGACCAGACCAACATCAGTATGGGACCTCCAACCCACCAGGCCGAAGGTTATTGACACATTCTAGATAATGCATACGTATCAGGAATGGCCGATGAACTCGGCTTCCACGGGAATGAGTTGGTTCAGTTCCAGACCATCTTCGTTGTGGGAAACGTGGTCGGCCTGCTGCCGTTCATCTACCTGTTCCCCCGAGTACCGATGCACATTCTAGTGCCGACTCTCGATTTAGGTGAGCTACGCATCAGACTGAGAATCGTCTGCAATAACATAGGCTGACTCTTGTCAAATAAGGATGGGGACTGTTCACTCTGCTCCAGTACCGCGCTCAAAGCTATGGTGAGATCATGGCCTACCGGTTCATGGTATCTTTGTTCGAGGTTGGCCTCGTTGTTCCACATCCCGACGTGCCTGCTGACACGTTCTACAGGCCTCGTACTTCCCTGGCGTTCACTTCGTTCTTGGCTCCTGGTATCGAAGCGATGAGATCGGTCGCCGAGGTGGCACATTCTACATCGGCCTCACACTCGGCACCCTCACGGCATCCCTCCTCCAAGCCGCGGCAACGACCTACCTCGACGGCGTCCACGGTCTACGAGGCTGGCGCTGGCTCTTCATCATCAACGCCATCATCACACTCCCCCTGGCATTCATCGGCTACTTCATCTGGCCCGGCACGCCCGCCAAACCGAACAGACTTGTGATGAAGAAGTCCGAGCTCGAGCTCGCGCGCTCGCGCCTCGAAAAGACAGGCAGCTCCGTCAAAAGCACCCCCTTCTCGCTCAACCTCCTAAAGCGCGTCTTCACCAACTGGCGCTTCTACCTCCTCGTCCTATGGGACGTCTTCTTCTTCAACACAAGCTCCAACAGCGCCGCGTTCCTCCTCTGGATCAAGAGCCTGGGGCGCTACAGCACCGCCGAGATGAACAAGCTCAACGCCATCAGCCCCGGCCTGGGTATCTTCTTCGTGCTCTTCATCAACTTCAGCGCGGACCTGTGGATAGGCCGGCCTGCAGCAATCACCCTCGCCTCGGCGGTCAACTTCACTGGGCTCGTCATCCTGGCGGTCTGGAACGTGCCCGAGGCGGCGAAGTGGTTCGCCTTCAGCACGTCGTACTCTGCGGTGGCCGTGTCCTCGGTGCTGTACGGCTGGGCGAACGTCATTTTGAAGAATAACATCGAGGAGAGGGCGCTGACGCTGATTCTGATGACGGCGATCGCGACGTCGACGAATGCTTGGATTCCGCTGTTTGTGTATCCCACCGTCGAGGCGCCGAGGTTCCCGAAGGGATACGTCTATTCTGCGGTGATGGTCGTGTGTTTGGTGGTTACGACGCAGGTTGTCAGGGTGTTGTTGGGGACTCAGGGGTAAGATTCGCTGTTTCTGTATTGGAGAATGAGTGGCTAACAGAGATGCAGGGAGAAACGCCAGCCCAAGTCGCAGGATTCGTCTGTCGCAGAGGGCACTTCGACGTCTGTCGAAGGTGATCATGATCGAAAGACATCGTCTCCGCGGATTGAAGCTGTTTGATTGGAAAGGCACGGAATGACGCGGGTACTGAGACCTGAGCGAGAGGGGAAGGCTTCATATGGGATGCATGTCTTTGTGGCTATGTGAGCAATAACGAACGGCTCATTCGAGGTAGTCTAATATGAGAGTTGCCACATGTGTGCAGGATAAGTCGGTGTTCATGTGGAAAAGTAGCCATACTGAGCGAGCCATGCTTAATACAAGCGCCGTTGAGAGAAATCTCCTTGTTCATCAAGAATGAGGTTATTACACACAATCGCTGTCGGATCCTTCTAAAGTAAAGCAGTCTAATAACCCTCCTTTTTGTTGACAACGTTTACAAGCCGCTTCCCCTGACTCAACCGCTCCAAATTCAGGTCCAAAATCCCCAGGATCCGCTCCGTGTAACTCGTCGACATACCGCTAATATGCGGCGTAATCAACAGATTCTTCGCCTTCCACAGCGGATGTCCCTCGGGCAGCGGCTCCGGGTCCGTCACATCCAGCGCGGCGCCGCGGATGAGCCCGTCGTCGAGCGCCTTGATCAGGTCGTCCGTGTTGACGATCGGCCCGCGCGCAATGTTGGACACGAACGTCTTTTTCGCGGACAGGATGCGGAACTCCTCCGCCGCGAGCAGGTGGCTCGTCTTGTCGGTCAGCGGGGTCGCGACGACGAGCAGGTCGAGCCCGGAGCCGAGGAAGGCGTGCAGGTCGGCCTTGGAGGCGCCCGAGAACCACTTGGCGGGGAACTTGCCCTCCGGGTCGCCGAGGCCGGGCGGCGAGTAGCCGTTGTCGCGCTTGGACTCGGGCGTCGGGCGCGAGTGCAGGGTGTAGGCGTGCACTTTGAAGCCGAGGGCGGTGGCTACGCGGGCGGTTTGGCGGCCGATGCTGCCGTAGCCGAGGATGCCTCTGGTGGCGAGGGTTAGTCAGATGCTCTCGTGATAGGAGAGAGTGAGGTGGGACTTGCATTGTGCGACCGACGGCGTCTTCTACCCATTCATTTCCGCGAGACCACTTTCCTTCGCGGAAGTTGTCGATGTACTTGGGGACTGTTGGGTTGATGAGCACTCATGCGGTGTAACCTGAAGGGTGAAGCAACTCACGTTGATGCTGGAATGAGAGGTAGGTTGAAATGATCCATTCGGAAATCTGAGGTCTGCGCGGGTATCAGTTGACCGTTGGCCTCACTACTCTCTCAAGGAAACATACCCGTGGACACCATTCGCCGTCGCAAAGACTGCATCCGTGTCCGTAAACAGCGGGTGCTTCAAGATGTGGTTCGCGCCGGCGCTCTGCAGCTGCACGTACTGCAGCTTCGGCGCCTGCTCCGGGTCCGGGAGGGCGCTGCCGGTGAGCAGGATCGTCACGTCCTTCCACTCGCTCTCGTCAAAGGTGCTGCCGGGCTTCTTCTCGGGGAAGCCGAGCTCGTGGTAGACGACCTTGAGATCCGGGAACTGGGAGTGCAGCTTGGTGTAGAAGTCCTCGTCGGGCTTGAACTGGGAGAGGATCAAGAGCTTCTGGCCCTTGAGGGTCGGGTTTGGCGGCGGGAGGAGCATGATCATTGGTTTTTGGTGTTGGCGTGAGGAATTACTCGGTAAGAGGAATGAAGCGGTTGTGAGGCTTGGTGTTGTTTATGAACAGATGTGAAGTATTGATAAGCAGGAGTTTGAGCGCGGACGGGATTCAGGTTGGCGGGTTTCAGCTGGTCGGATCACAAATAACGGACAGAGGAAGCTCTCTCTCTCTCACACCGACCCCCTCCACCAGCGGAAGTCATGGCATAATCACAGCAGTAATGTACCCTGAAATGGAGGGGCATTGGAGCTGGTGCGGGGGGTCCAGTCTTCCAATGTTTGGTTCGCTGGCCTCTGAGCGCATCGCAGGGCCAGATGGCGCAACAGGAAGGTCGGAACGCCGCCGATGCGAGTGTGTGTGGGGGGGAGTTCAGACGGTTGGCTCAATGGAATTGCGTATCTTTTGACTCGTCAATGGCGTCTGCGGCCAAGGGTTCTCGCATCATTCATTTCTTCATCCAATCTTCGTTGCTCGCTCCATTCGCGGACTGGGGGACTCCGGCCCGGTGTCGGCGGCAATTGAACATGTCCGCCGGAGCCTGGCTGGATGTTTCTGCCGATAAGGCCGGTGACGCGGAGAATAGCTGGCTGAACTGAGGAAACATTGCAGATTGCCTCGAGAGCTGTCAACTGGGGAGCGAAGCTCTGTTCCCTGTCGCTACAGATCGATGATAAGATACCGATAGATGATTGCCATTCCCCTACCCTTCATCCCCACACCACCAGCTAAGGTAATCCAGTACTTGGCTGTATTCTGCTGACATCTCCTATAAACAATCTGCTTTTGAGGCTGTAGATGTTGTAGATATGCTTGCCTTGATGCATCCTGACTCATTCTGACTCGGCCCAGGTGATGAAACACAAGACCCGAAGGCGGTGAAAACAAACATAAATCTAACGTTGGTTGAGGGGCGCATGCATGATTCCTTCTCCACCTTCGACATATGCGCGCCCTTTGAGAACCAGGCTGAGCCGTATAAATAATCTTTGATCCTGCAATTGAGGCTCTGCAATAAGCTATCTTGTGCTCAAAACACTACAGACCGGCAACTCACTCTCCAAAATGGCACCCTCAAACTCAACCGTCCGCCATGCGCGACGCGAAGGTAAGCCAGTAAACTATCTTGCTGTCATGAAGGCGGGGGGACTTGAACTGACACTGCCCCAGATATCCCCATCATCCTCTCCCTGATCAAGGAGCTGGCGGAATACGAGAAGGAACTTGACAGCGTCCAGGCCACCGAGGAGTCACTGGGAAACACCATCGCCTTCGCCCCGGACGACCAGACCGCCTACACGGCGGGCAAGCCCGTGACTGAGCCCACATCCCCCAGCAGACCCGCGAGGTGTCTCATCCTGTTCAACGAGGCGGGCGAGGGTGTCGGCATGGCCCTGTACTTTTACAACTACAGCACATGGCGCGCCAAGCCCGGTGTCTACCTAGAGGATCTCTACGTACGCCAGACGGAGCGCAAGAAGGGCTATGGCAAGCGCCTACTGGTTGAGCTGGCCAAGGAGGTCGTCGCCATGGATGGAGGCCGACTTGAGTGGGTGGTGCTCAAGTGGAACGAGCCGAGTATCAAGTTTTACGAGTCCATCGGCGCCAAGGCCATGGACGAGTGGGTTGGCATGCGTGTCGATGGTGACGCTCTGCCGAAGCTGGCTGGCTTGCTAGACTAGATAGAGTGGGATCTGGGGTATAATAACAGAAACAAACAGACAAGGCACTACTTTCCGCCAAGTATCTGTCCCTGGGCATCGACGCCCTCAAAGATTCCAAGTTGAGGGCCTGATGCGATGGGCGGGCTAGTCAAAGGATTACCCCAGACAAACTCACGCTTGTGCCGCCCCTTTTCATCGCTTTTAGTCTCCTCCACGTACGATGACGCCTGCCATAACCTGCCGAACTCCCTCCGAAGCTTTCTGTCGCTGTATGGAACCTCGCGCACCAGCTGTTGGGTCTGCGAGTATGGGCCGTCATCCGTCTTGCCCGTCAACCGGGTTCTCTTTCGAGACCGTGGTCTCTCGATTTCGCGAACGGGAATTGAGGCATAGGCCGACCATGGGAAGTCCCCCTGCTCGCTCTTCTCCATAGCAACTGGTCTGCGTGGAGCCAGTTTCCACAAGACCTCAGGCGCATCACCGCTGACAATCGAGCGCAACAAATCCCATTCATTGCGCTCCACTGGTGGCACGAGCCTGCCTGCCGTCCTCTTCCACCAAAGACGCACTTTCTTTGTTTTCCTTTGGGCTGCTGTTTCTCGGCCCCATGCGTCGTTCTCAGGGACGAACTTTTCAGGCTTGAAGTTGTCAAGTTCAGTTCGAGGCCAGCAATCCGATGGCGTATCGCGTTGCTGCGTCTTTTGGGAGGTGTAGAACTGGGTGAGCTTTTTGATATCCCAGTTGTCCTCGATGGGACTGAGCTTCTGGCGAACCCAGGGCGTGGGATCGGTCCGGTCGAACACGCGCCTTGTCGGGGGAATACTTTTGAGTCTCTGCAGCTTTCTGGCCTTCTGGATGTCTCGTTCTGAGTCAAACACTTGCATTTGTTTCTCGAGCTCGTTGATGTCCACGGGAGGATCGGGTTCCTTCTTGACAAAGTCGGCCATGAGCTCACGGCGTCGCCGGCCTAACTTCCCAAAAACGAGCCATAAAACCTTGCGGAAGCGGTCTGTGTCGCCCAAGAGTGCGGCATTGAGGATGACAAGCTTCCTTTTGCCTTCCCCGAGTGCTTTTGTGCGCAGAAAGTGTTCTTCTCGTTCTCGGCCATGATCGCGCCTACGTGTGGGCAATTTGGCTGCTGCCGAGGCAGCTCTCGCTCGCTCTCGTCGAAAGCCGTCCTTGACCCAGTCCTCCAGGTAGGAACGACAGATGAGCGGGAAGTATGTGGTAGCACGGAGGAGGTGGCGGTAGAGGTGAAGGGGTCGGATAGGTCGCGGCAGGGGGATAACGGCGGTGGAGGTAGCGGTCGCGGCTTGGAGGTGGCTCCAGACCTTCTTTTGCGGTGTGGGGTTTCGGATCGGGAGGCGGACCTTGGGCATGGTGATTGATGGTGGAGCAGCAGGAGGCTGGTAAGAGACCGACAATCAGGAACAGGAACAGGGCGGCAGGGACATTGTTGTTGCACTCGGCTGGTGTCTCGCAGTCGGGCAGAGACGCATGTACCGTTGCCGGAGTCGGTGTCGGTACGAATATCGATGTCGAACAGGATGCATGCAGGACGGAGGTAAGGTACGGTGCAGAAATTTGGAGATTTGGCTGCAGCGGTGACGGGGACTGGCTGGAGCTTCATCGGATCTGCCTCAGGAGCCAAGGGGAAAGTGGCCCAAGCTTCCTGGGATGGGGGGCAGTTGCCGTAGAAAGGTATTATTTACAAGGCAAGAACAACAGAGGTTCGATGTTGTTGAAAATGGCATGAATTGCTAATTGAATATTGTTGAATATTGATACCTAAAAAAGGTTTAATTAGTCTCTTCGTCAGCTGTTTAGTATGCAGCAATTACATCTTGAAGCATAGCTACGTGAGAATACCATTCGAGATCAGACTGCTTGTTGGCAAAGTAGGTACCCAGCATTGAAGTCTGAACCAACAAACATCAAACATAAACAATTAACTGCTCGTCTTAAGGAAATCCTCAACTGTTTACATGATGGGTAAAGTACTCATCGTGACTGGCTCTGTGAATGGGACTGGAGGTGGACGCGATAGTGTGAGAGGCCCGGGCCGGGTCTGCGATAAGGCCACCCGCGGCACGTCGACTACGCGTCACCGACGCTCCTCCCTCCCCGGCCGACGTGAATGCCCTTTCACTTTTCGCGGTGAGGACGGGCAGTACGTACCGTCAGTGCCCCACCTTCCTTCAGCAATCCAGCAGTCTGAGTGGCCCGTGCGTCTCGCTTAAGCAAATGGGAAGGCACGAATTCTGGCTTGCACCTGCTTGCTCTGTGTGTCTCTGCTGCCAGCCCCCTCCAGCAAGCACACGGTCCCCCCCCTCGCCGCCCTCTTCCCTCTGTAAATTGGACGCGACACGCTCAAAAGACCGACACGCCCTTTTTCGCGAAAACCGCGAATCGACACGTCCACCACTTTTAATTGAAATTCCATTTCGGGAACCCGCTGCGGACCTTTTCCTCATTTTCGGTCCCCGGACGACGGCTGGGCGACAGGACCATCTGCGAATACCTGATATCCACCTCCAGTCCGATAATTCAGCTTTCTGCCGAATACCCTACCGATACTCTGTACTCTGTACTGACTGTGAACTCTGCCGGCGGGTCGTTTCTGTTGCGAATACCTACTTCGCACTTTTGCACTGGGCTGCCAATCCTCTTATTCTCCGTCTCTCTCCTCTCCTCTCTCGGTCTCTCCCCCCAGCACCTGAACCACCACTCTCGGATTCCGGTCTAGACCCCCTTTGAGACGACCACCCAACCCTTGACGGCATCTGAAGCGCCTATCCGCCCTACGCCATTTGCCATTCCGATTATTACTCTCAACCGTCGTTCAGTAGTACATTGGTTTCCCTTTGGCGTAGCCCCCCAACCATCGCCTGTCATCCTTCCACCACTCAAGTTGCTTGCGTTGCCGCATCAGCATCGCACAAAGCTGCCAAAGCACCGAGCCGCCGCGCAAAGCGATCCGACAAAACGCTCGCCTGCCCATCCACGCACACCAAGAAAGCCCCGGCCGGCTGCACGCATTCACAATCCGACTCTTGTCGACCGCCAAAGCTGTCGCAACCACAACTACCTCATCCCGCGACACTGCTTCCTCCATATCTGGAAAGCCACCGCCGCCGCCGCCGAGTGATCGACCATCCTCGCCCACCACCTCTGCCTCCCTTCCGAACCCCCTCTTGATCGCATCGCCTCCCGTCGCAGCTCCCGCCTCCAATGCCCTAGTGCCAGCGGCACATGTCTTCGACCACCGTCACAGCTAGTCAACCCACTTCACATTCCTTCCATCTTCCCCGCGACTCCTCCTTTTCGGCTGCGCAACCACACGACTACCCCGGGAAACCAACTCCCACCGCCATGATGCCTTCAGCATCACAGTCCCAACCTTCGTCGCAACAGTCTTTTACCATGAGCCAGCAGAGCCAGGGCGGCTACCGCGGCTATGCCGACGCCAGGCTTGCCAATGAAGCCCCCCAGATCTATAGCGTGAGTGGAGTCGGCTCGCAGTCGTGCTATCCTGGCACATCTGCCTTTGGGGCATTCGCAATTGACATGACACATTTAGGCCGTCTACTCGGGCGTCGATGTATACGAAATGGAGGTCAACGGTGTCGCCGTCATGCGCAGGCGGCAGGACAGTTGGCTCAATGCGACCCAGATTCTCAAAGTTGCCGGTGTCGACAAGGGAAAACGCACAAAGATCCTCGAAAAGGAGATCCAGATTGGCGAGCACGAGAAGGTCCAAGGAGGCTACGGAAAATACCAGGGCACATGGATCAAGTTCGAGCGCGGTGTCGAAGTCTGCCGCCAGTACGGCGTCGAGGAGGTTCTCCGTCCGCTGTTGACATATGATATGGGACAAGATGGCGGTGTTGCCGGCCGAGGAGACTTCAACACTCCAACCAAGGAACAGGCCATGGCTGCGCAGAGGAAACGTCTGTACAACGCCGGAAACGAGGCAAGGTCCAACGGCATGGCTGGCATCAACGGCACCTTCTTCAAGAACATCTCCACCACTGCGTCTCACGCTGTCGCTGCTATTAGCAAGGCACGATTCGACTCTCCCGGACCTAGGGGTCGCAATGGACCCACGAAAGCACCCAGCTTCAGCCGCCAGAGCTCCATGCAGAACGGCGACGACTTCCCCGGCAACTCCCAGCAGAGCTATGCTTCCGACTACGGCCAGCACGTCGACTCGGCGTACTCTACTCAACAGACCAGCCAACAGTTTGACGGTCCGGAGCCGCCTCGCAAGCGCCAAAGAGTCACTATGACCCCCGCCGAGAGCTTCGGCGGCTACAACAACTCGATGGAAATGTACCAGGGCGCCTTCCCCGGATCTCCTACGGAGCCTAATGAGTCCTTCATCTACTCTCAAGCGAATGTGCCCGCACACGATGGCCACAGCCCACTCACACCGCTACCCTTTGAGATGTCACCGGACGCCGAACACAAAAGGAGCATGTTGATGAGTCTGTTCATGGACTCTGCGGCTTCGGACCAGTCCAAGCATGAGATGCTTCGCTCATTGGCGCCTATTGAGCTAGATATGCCCATTGACCAGCAAAGCCACACAGCCCTTCACTGGGCTGCTACGTTATCGCGTATGCCGCTCTTGCGCGCACTCATCGCTGCCGGCGCCAGCCCCTTCCGTGTCAATGCCTCGGGAGAGACCGCTTTGGTGAGAGCTTGTGTAGTGACAAACTCGATGGATCTCGGCTCCTTCCCTGATCTGCTGGATGTTCTCGGAAGCACCATTGAGGTCCGCGATAGCAAGGGACGCACTGTTCTGCACCATATTGCCATGACTAGCGCCGTCAAGGGTAGGAACGCGGCCAGTCGGTATTATTTGGAAAGCCTTTTGGAGTGGGTGGTAAGGCAAGGCAGCGTGCCCAATGGCCAAGCGGCGACCAACGGCAACGGAAGCAGTGCGCCCGCCAGTTCCCAGTCCCAACCGCAGTCGCAACCGAAGATGGGCATCGCGCGCTTCATGACTGAGATTGTCAACGCCCAAGACCACGCCGGTGATACGGCTCTCAACATTGCGGCAAGGATAGGCAACCGCAGCATCATCTCGCAGCTTCTCGAGGTCGGCGCAGACGGCAACATTGCCAACCGTGCCGGTCTCCGGCCTGTGGACTTTGGTATCGGAGTCGAGGCTGCAGATGAGGGCAACAACATGGCCAATGGTACCGAGCTAAACGGGGACACTGAGAAGAACCGTGCCGCGAGCAGCGAGCGCGCAAAGGAGAGCAGCGATGACATTGTTTCCTGTGAGTAAACATCCAGTTTCCAGTAGTAGATTTTCCCGCTGACCGCCCCCCCCCTAGCCATCACACATCTTCTTAGCGAAGCAAGCTCCACCTTCCAGAACGAAATCAAGACGAAGCAGGCCGTCATCGAGTCCCTGCACTCAACACTCCGCACCACATCAGCGCAGCTGGGCGAGGCAAGGCGAAACCTCGAAGCCATGCAGGCGACGCTGAAGAAGCAACAACTGGCCCGCCAAAAGATCTCGAACCTCAGACACGCCCGCGAGGAGGAACAGGTCCGCCTGATGCAGGAGCAGAACCGGGCAGGCCGCACCGACGCCCTCTCGTCGTCGTGGGAGACGGAACTGGGCGCGGCGCTGGAGACGGCCGACAACGGTGAGGAGGCCGCCATGCTGCCCTCGGCGGCGGTCCTGAAGGCAAGGCTAAGTGCCGTCTCGGCGCGACGCGACGTCACGCGCAAGATGGCCGCCGCGCTCAAGGGGCGAAGCAAGGACGTCGAGATCAAGTACCGCCGCGTGGTGGCCATTAGCACCGGCGTGCCTGAGGACCAGGTCGACGCCGTCGTGGATGGTCTCCTCCGCGCGGTGGAGAGCGAAAAGGGCGAGTTGGAAGTCGACCGCGTCAGGAGGTTCCTCGGCGGCGTCGAGGGCGTGGTGCATTAATGAAGCTGCTGCGATGATGTTCTAGACGTTCGTTGTGTTGGTGTCATACCCCGTCGGAGAAGCCCCCTTTTTTTGAAGTAGGAGAAAAGGGGACCACGGACCGGCCCGTTTATTGATGTTTGTTTTTTATATACTACGAAGAGGGGGAAGGCATAAAACCCAGTGCTTTTTTCTAAGGGGAAAAGAGAGGGCGTTGGCAGGCTGTTTGGCATTAGTGTAGGGTTGCACGGGTGGATATCTGATGATTGGAATTTCATACGATTTCAAAATTTGATGGCCTTGAACGGAGCAACCTGTGAAGTGTGTGAGTGTGCGCAGTGCGGGCTGAGCCTACGAATGCTTTGCTTTGATGCGCCATCCTAAATCCTACTTGATAAAAAAGCTCCCTTTCCCAAACGCCGTGCAATGCTGCTTTGGATACTATTCCGGCAAGATCTGTCTGTTCATATATTACGTCCTCGGGACATATTACGGGCTGTCTTTTTCACCGCGTGATACCGGACGCGTACAGCCCCTCCCACCGCTGCTCGACTCCTCCCACGAGCTTCTTGGCCTTTTCAATCTCCCTGTCGAGCTCTTCCACGTTACGAGTGAGGGCGCTGACCTCTTCGAAGCGCCTCGCCCCGCGCGCCGAGTCCACCATCTGCTGCACCATGAACTTTTGCTCCTCAAGCACAATGAGGCGCTCGCGGGCCTCCTTTTCCTCCGTCTCCAGCTGCGATACCGCGGTGCTGGTCTCGCTGGCCTGGCTCGCCGTCTCGGATTCTGCGAGTTCTCCGTTCCGGAGGGGCGAGAGGTGCAACGATGAAGAAGAGCCGTTGGCGCTGCCCTGGAGAGCGAGCAGCCGCGAGGAATGCGACGATCGGGAGCGGAGGATCTGAGGGACGGATTTGAGGGTGAGCATATGGGTATGCAGGAAAGTAGATGCGGCTGCGTATACGGCCTGTTGTAAGCGCAGCTGTGTCTTGGATTTCGTCTTCATGTCGCGTAAACGGCGCGCCGCCGTATCGTATTTGGTAAAGGCATCGGTGAGTCGTTTGCGAATCTTGGAGGCCTCTTGGATCTGGGCGTGAGTTGGTGGAGGCTTTGGTGCCTCAGACCCATCCTCGCTTTCTGGTTGCAGCGCCAGCAGTGTACGTTGGAAAATAGGCATCAGCTGCCGGATGCCGCGCTCAAACTGGCGAAGTGTCTCGTAGGCGCGCTGATCCGGGGGTTTATGCATAATGGTAGCGGCAAAATCACGCTTGGAAAATATCGTGTGGTTGCAATCGGCGCACATTCGCACATCGACACTCAGCTGGCCAGGCTGAGCCGCGGTCGGGGGCTTCTCCGTCGCCGGGTTCGTGGCTGGTACTGTTAGGCGCGATTCTCGGAGTGACGCCGATGCGCAAGACTCACGATTCGCTACGCTCAATCCCACTTCGCTCGAACAGCCCGTCAATGGGTCGGCGCAAACCACCCGCCCGCATATTCGACAATGGTGGCGCCTAAATGTCCATGATCCAAACTCTTGCTGGCAAAAGGGGCATTGTGTGACAGAGGCGTCGTCCTCCCAGGTAACCACCGACTGCTCCAATAATTTCCTCTGATTTTTCTGGCCCGTCAGCGTCGCTACTGGGGCCAGCAGGTTATTGCTGTTGGTCGTGACGTCTTCGGGGGCATTCGCAAGCAGCTGCGTAAGCTTCGTTAAACGCTTCTCCAGTCTGGCCACCTCAAGATTCTGCCTCTCCACCCTCTTTCGGCGCATTTCCGCAAAAGCTGACGTGTGGTCGATTAACACGCCATTGTGGTCATTGTAGCCGTCCCTCGACTTGTAGCACGTCTCGCACACTCTAACCCAATACCCCCGCACGGGGTCGTGCTGGGCGGACCTCGCCAGCCTCATCTGGTACATGGTATGCTCCTCGCAGAACAGCCTGCCACATTTCCTGCAGTTGATGCTGCCGTTGACAGCGCCCAGGCCCTTTGCGCAAGTCGGGTCGGTGCATCGGTCGTTGCTTGTCTGTCGCTGCCAATGCGATCGGGTGATGAGCTCGTCCGGATCGATCGGGCCCTCGACGAGTCTGGCGGTGGTGGGCGGGGCAATGGGCAGGGACTCGTTGGATTCGAAGACATCGAGGCCTCTGAGCTTTTGGTTGATTATGGAAAGCGGCTGGAACTTTTTGGCCTTGAGGACCTGCTTGTCGAACCAGGTCCTGACTTCATCCTGTTCGACCTCGGGAAGCTCTTGGTGGTTGTCGTCGATGTGTCTGAGGAGTGTCAGAGACTAGGGTCAGAGTCGCAAGACGGGCGGCAATGGTCACCTGTTTAGTTGAAGCAGCGTCAACTGTATGGAGAGATTAGCCATGGGCCGAGAGGCATCGCGAAGGAGAGATGACTGACCATTTCCTCGTCGCATATTGGGCAAACCAGCTTTGAGCTCGTGGCGGAGGACCTGGAGGGGCCGCCAACGCTGATGTTTGACGTCAGGTCTTGGGAATAGTCGGGGAGTGGACTCGAGACTGGCGGCGACGCCGAGGAGGAGTTGAGCGACAGGGTGCTTTCGGAGGGAGCAAAAGGACTCGGCGTTCGCTGATGGCCACGACCGTGGACTGCAGGAGGCGTGGGAGGGGCAAGGCCTTTCCCGCTGCCCAAGATGCGACCGCCTCCCAGCTTGCGGCCGGACATGGTGGAAGAGAGGGGAGCTCACGCGACCATCCAGGTCGAGGAGGGAGGGGTTTCCGGCGACAAAGGCGGGTAGGATAAACAAACAAAGAAACGAGGTCGGGAAGACGGTGAGGGGGGAAACGAGGTTGAGGAGGTGACGATGGCCAGGACGAGGCGAGACGAGACGAGACGAGGAGGGGGTCCGAGTATCCGCGGTGTGTGCTGTGCAGCGTAAGGTAGGTATTCGTAGGTAGGCACGTAAGGTATTCGTAGGTTGTGCAGGCAAGCGAGGCAGAATAGAGCAAGAGTAAAGCAAAAGCACAGCACAGCACAACGCAGCACACGATGTGCTGTTTGTTGCAGGATGCGAATGCAGATGACGGAGGAAGAGGAGTGGTTCGTTGTGGTCCCTTGGTGGTTCCTGCTGGGACCTCGTCGGTGTCGCAGCGTAAGGTAACTTGCAAGGTAACTTAACTTGTAAGGTCAGGCAGGTAGTAGAGAGGTGACAGCCGCAGTTGGTTCCAGTTCCAGGTTCCCGTGCTCGTCAGGCACTTTCCCTGCTGGGGGGGAAGGGGGGTCTTTGGGCAGCCTGCCAGTGCTGAGTGGCTCTCCAGGTGCAGTGCAGTTGGTTGGGGGCAGAGCTGGAGACTTGATGACTGGGCATTGAGCGGTCACGATGCAAGGAGGGGGGTACGTACTGCGTAGACCAGGACCTGGTAAAGTAGATGCAGTAGTATTTTGCAGGGAAAAGTACTTGCAGCTGACGGAAGCACAGGCGGTGGGCATTGGCCGGGCGGCAGCAAGCGGACGACAGGCACGAACCCCTCCCTCTCCTACGATTTAGATACGTTCCTCCAATTATACGGAGGTCGCGGTCAAAAGTATTCGTACATCAGGGGGGCCCTGCCGCCGTGCGAGTATGGGTGGGTTTTCGTGGTTTTAACTGTAGTCGATCTTTTGCCCAATTCAGCAGTAACTTTAGTTACTTAAAACGAGGATACCCTAATTAAAAATTAGCCTACACTATTATTTTGGATTAAACTACTCTTTTAGATATAATTAAAGGGGGGGGGGGGGACCCTACTTTAAAAGAAGACGCTACTAATACTACTATATAGTACTAGCGTTTATAATGCCTATTAAATTAAGAGAATAGGATCTTAGTACCTATATAGGTATCCTAACCCTATAGGGGTTAGGTTAGGCGTTAATTACTTAGTTATACTAAGACTTTAAGATACCCTGTAGTATGTTTACCTTAATATGTAAAAAAGCTATTAATTATAGATAGAATCTAGGGTAGCTTATACTTAAGGTATTTATATTAAATACTTTATGAAGTAGGCACCCTATACGAATTATTAAAGACCTTAAGGTTTAAATTGTTAATATTCTAATAAAAAACTTATCGATAAGGTAGTACTTAACGTAGTAATTAGCTAATATGATCTATTATATATTTATTAAAAGTAATCTAATTATTTTAAGGTCTACTATATATTAGTATCTAAAAAGCAAAAGATTTTAAAGTATTAAACTAATAATAAAGCTAAGCCTAAATAACTAATAAAAGAGATAACGCCTTTAATAGGCCTTTAAATATAGCGCTTAGATAATTAAAGACTAAAAGAGGGTTATATAAAGTAACGAAATAGTAGTAATACTTAGCGTAGTTTATAGGAAGTAGAGGGTGTAATATAAGCTAAAAGAAGTATTTAACTACTACTACGTTTAATACTACTAAAAGGGGAAATATAAGTTTATATTCTAAGGCTACTTCTACTAATATAAGGTTAGACCTTATTATATATAGCTACTAAAGTCTAAAGCTATATAAGAGTAGTATAAATATTAGATAGATTAACGTAATAACTGCTATAAAGCTATAGATTAAGCAAAATAGGAAGCTATAGAAGCTATAAGAGTGTTACGCTTAAAGAGGAAGCTATTAAAGCCTAAATAGTGGAAATATATAGTAGAGATAGGTGCTATAGTATAAGGCTTAAAAAAAGGTGGTATTAACTAGTGTTAGTATTAATATAAAGTTCTAAGGCTTCTTTTTATTACTTTTATAAAGTAATAGCAATATATCTGCTTAAAAGGGGTTAAAATAATCGCATAAGAGGATAATACTAGCCTTTACACTTAGTATTAGAACTATAAGTACTAAGCGAAGTTAGGTATAGCTTTTACTATAGCTAGTAAACTCTTTAGATCTCTTAGTAATTAAGCTACTATAAGTATATCTTAAGTAGAAGCTATACCTTACTAGTATTATAAGCTGTGCGTAATTAGCCTATATATAGAGGGAAAGATAGAAGAACTTCCCTATTAAAAAGTTACAGCACTTTATA